GGGAAAGATGACTTTGAGTAGAGAAAACACTCAGCAGTCAAGTTGCAGATGCCCAGAGGTTACAACACAGGAATTTAGGGAACAGAAAGGAGGTGAAGAATGAATGAGGAGGAGGTGGGTTCTGTTTGGGGTGATGCCCCGTATGGTAATCCTTCCCAAGTGGGAATTGCTGTGAACAGAGCAGGAGGAGAAGAAGGAGCAGTCAGAAAGTGACTTCATGGGGAGGGATGAGGCCAGGACAGGAAAAAAGTGAAGGGGTCAAAAAACAAGGGAAAGGTGGCAGGAAAGGGATACCAAAGGTGGGGGGAAGTGTTGTGGGGACCAACTCTTCCCAGACAACTGGTTTTGTCAAATTATTAGCTAGTGGGAAACTCAAGAGTAGAAAAAGAGGAATCACTGGGGAGCACCAAAGGGTATTTTGAAATGGTTTACACAGAACACAATGGAATCATTAAATGCGTGAGTCAAAAGCAAGGTGGATAGGAAAGAACTGACAAGATTCCTTCAGTTCAGATAAAGAGAAGGGAAAGTACAGGTTTGGTTGTTTGGTTGTTTGTTTTAAAAAAAAATAAATTCAGATGTCTTTTGGCCTGGCAACAAGTTCTTTGGGACAAAAAGAAAAAGCAAAGCAAATGACCAGTTCTTAGAGAGCTCTTTTTCTATCAATAACACAAAACACACATGGAATGATTTCCTTTAATCTTTACTAATTATGTTCTTCCTTTCACACCTGGACAAAAAGCAGTAAACTACATCAACATTCTCAGATGAAGAAATATGATTTTTATATGTAATAAGTTTTTATACTTTCCGCATACATATTTTAGAAAGAAGTGGTGTAGCTTCGAAATAAAATGCTACATTTTTCCTGCTGTTATTAAATTATATTAAAGTAGGAAAGCACTTAAGCAGAAAAGTGTGAATACTGCCAATCTCAAAATGTAACGCTTATTATCTTTAAAAGCATTTTGTTACTTTTATAATACCTGAAGTGATATAATAGTGTCAGTCACTTAACCACATCTTAGAGCATAATATCTTCATCTTAAGTACTATTATTTCCAGTATTTTAATAATTTTCACACAGTCCTGAAATGTGATCTTTTGTGCTCTGATGACACTTAAATTAATAGCATAATTTTCTGGTACTTGCAACAGTTGCTTTCCATTTTGATTTTTTACATTTTTCTATATCACATACAGATAAATCCTCTAATAATGGTTTTTATCTTTATCTTCCGGGAATTCAAAGGGTTTCACTAGGAAAAAGAAACATCAAGGGATTATAACCCACAGATAAGTTTTAAAATCCAATTAATTTTAATACTAATTGTAATTTTTCAATGATGTTCCTTAAAAAGGTAGTTAAATCTTTTTTTAATGCACTGTTCATTTGATCTTATTTGCATGCTTCATTGATGTTGCCAGCTGTCTCCTGCTATATACAGAAATGCATCTATAGCTATTTAAATACATCACATGCCTGTCATGCAAACCATGAAAACTGTAACATTCCTTTTTATTTGATTAACTAACTGATTTTTGGTCATTGCCCGACACTTCAAAAAGACTGCCATCATGCTTTTTTTTCTGTCTACGCTAACCACAATAGTCACTAATAATGTCAAACAGCACAAACTGTGTTTCTTGGTCACCTTTGTACAAAAACATTAGAATTGGAATGAAGTATTTCAGTTGTTCCCTGGAAAATAAGACATTCACAATTCAGGATATCATCCCTGGCTGCCCTGACTCTAAAAAGCACTGGCAGGACCAAGCTGGGTACTCCATCTTCTGTATCTGTTGGGTTTCTATGCTCATTGGGCAAAACATCCATTATAAAAACAAAGAACATTACCGCACTTTAATCTTTCACAACAACTGAAAGTATTTTTAATGTATAATGTAAACCTTACATTTTATTTTTAACTACCAAGAATATCGACATCAGCTGCCCATATGACCAGCAATGAATAGCTAGTGGAGGTGAGGAAATTCTAGCCCTAAAATAGACACAAAACTTAATTTTTTTTTTTGCACAAGTGGATGTGACAGTCTTTTCTAACTTGTTCAAATACTTCTCTCTTTCCCCCTGCCCCAACCTATGGATTGCTGACACCTATTGCACTGGCTGTACAGTGATGCCTTTGCAGGGTGCTGCCTGGTCCCCACGCTGACCGGACACTACTCGGGTCAGTGTGAACTAGTGAGGGTGTGCTCCAAGCTGAAAAGCTGCCTATGATTCTGACCAGACCTCCTCAAGTAACCTAACCAACCAGAGCTGGGACAAAGAAGTTTCTAAGAGGAGGAACGGAGAGTCCACCACTACACAGGATCAAAAAAGATATGGAGTTTGGACGAGCAAAACAGCATCAGAGGAGATGTGATTATTAACTGCTGTTATCTATGCTATGGCTAACTAGAGTTAGGGCTGGAGCTGGGTTCCTCTCCATGAGAGAGGATCAACATCCTGAGACAACTCTACAGTCCCAGGACACTTCATTACTTTCAAGTGGGTGCTTGGTAAGTTTTTGACAGATATGCTGCATCATTTAAAGATCCTGTTCCCGTCAGCTCTCTATAATGACCTCCACAGCCCCAAGACATGATATAATCATCAAAATGCATTTTCAGATTAGATGGCCTCATTCTGATTTTTCATATGGAAAGAGAGTAAGAAAATGGTAATGTGGAATACTCAGCTTTAGATCCCTTCATCTCTTTAAGAGGACTGAGAGCATCACCTCCCAGCACTTCTCCAGATTTTTCAAATTTCATGTCGTGAGTGTACAAAACAAAGAATACAATTAGTGATTACTTGGGAAAAGGCACTGTAAGTGACCCTCAGCACAGACACTTTTCTCTCTCTCAACAAAGCACATGTTCAGCCCCAAAGTCCCAGTTATTCAAAACTATGAGGTAAAAAGTTGTCATATACTGATACAAGCTATACCAACACAGTCCTTTGGACTGAGCAGCAATCTAATGTTAATTTGGAGGGGTGTGATTCTGTGATCTTAACTTCTGAAAAAAAATGTCTGTAGAGACTGGATTAAATTGGTTATTTTACAGGAAAACAGACATGCAAACGCATCAACTTTGACAATTCCCCAGCAGTTTTAGAAAACTTTGACCCAAATGTTACCCTCGTGCTATCAGACCACACATGTGCTCCATTCATTTCAACAACTGGTAGGAGACGAAGCATGCACTTTGGTCAGTGAAAATCAGAGATTCTGGACCTCTCTGTTTCTGAGGGGACCTTCTCTTCTACCAAAAACGAGTCTGCTGTAGTTTTGCAACATTTTTCTTTCCATTTTGATCCTCTGTGCTCTCTACTCCACTTCATCACTGGTAGCTCCTCGTACCAATTCTTTCCTTCTTTTTTTACTTTATTCCAATTCAAACACTTTCCCAAGTTTACCCCATTGCCCATAAACTGTTTCCTTCAATTAAAGAAATAATAAGGAATGCAAGAAAAGCCCCTCTGCTCTTGGTTCTTATTTCTAGAGCTGTAGAAGCCAGGAAGAATAAAGAGAAAGTCTTGAGTCTGCGTCTGCCATAAAATCCATGAAGCCTTTCAGTAACTTTTAAGAAGTGCTCTATGCCTGTATGGCTATTCTGCCAAATTTCAAACACCTGCTCCAAATTCCAGATGAAATAAATACTAATCAAATGGTAGAAAGAATTAAGGTAAATAAAGCACAACTTTTTTTTTTAAGATAAAAATGTGATCTTTATTCTGAGATTTTTTTGCTAAAATTTTTCCTAACACAAAATTTGCTTATCCAAAATTAAAACTGGAAAGCCTCCTAATGGAAAAGGTAAAGTAGCCAAAACTATAGGTGCTGTTACCTGCTAGCCCTTCATGAATTCATAGACAGAATACAATTTAATACAGTGAGCAGTTGTTGGATGCAAAAAGGATCACCTGTATGACCAAAATAATTTATGATTCTTTAGATTTGTTTGGAAACTGTTTATTTCTCACAGACAGTAGTTTAACAATTTTCCCCCTCCTCAGCACAAATCAAACTGAGGCAGAACACACTGAAATCTTTATAAAGTGTCTTGTCAACCATCTCCATTTTTTGTATTAATGGATGCATACAAAGCTGGTGTCTGTGAAGCTCCTTTGCTAAGAAAGAGCATAATTATGATGCATTTTATTGTGCTTTC